GTCAAAGAAAGCTATTAGGTTGGTTTGGCATGATTTGTTCTTGACAAATCCATGTTGACTATTACTTAGCACCTTAGTATCTTCTAGGTATTTGCAAATTGATTGTTTATTTGTTCCATTATCTTTCCAGGTAATGAAGTTAAACTGACTGGTCTGTAATTCCATGGATTGTCCTTATTTCCCTTTTTATAGATTGACACTATATTTGCCCTTTTCCAGTCGTCTGGAATCTCTCCAGTCTTCCATGACTTTTCAAAGATAACTGCTAATGGCTCAGATATCTCCTCAGTCAGCTCCTTGAGTATTCTAGGATGCATTTCATCAGGCCCTGGGGACTGGAAGACATCTAACTTGTTTAAGTAATCTTTAACGTGTTCTTTCCTTATTTTAGCCTCTGGTTCTACATCATTCACTATGTTAGGCGTCCAATCACTACTAACCTTTTTGGTGAAAACCAAAACAAACAAAAAAAGACCATTTAGCACTTCTGCCATTTCCACATTTTCTGTTATTGTCCGTCTCCCCCACCCCTTATTGAGTAAGGGGTCTACTCTGTCCTTGGTCTTCCTCTTGCTTCTAATGTATTTCTAAAATGTTTTCTTGTTACCCTTTATGTCTCTAGCTAGTTTGATCTTGTTTTGTGCCTTGGCTTTTGTAATATGTCCCTACATACTTCTGTTATTTGTTTATATGCATCCTTTGTCATTTGACCTAGTTTCCACTTTTTGTAGGACTCCTTTTTGAGTTTCAGATGGAGATTTTAACAGTCTGAGCTGATAGTCACTAACACTGCATGCTCTCAGAGTCTAGCCTTTCAGACTGGTGAGGACCACAAAAGTTGCAAAAGCAACATGAAAAACAGCAGCCTGTCCTGCGTATAGAGCACTACCCCAGACGGACTGACATTTCAAAGATGTTCAGTTACCAAGGGAATGTGGAGAGAGAGAGGCTGGAAGGAAAACAAGGAGAAAGAAATACTCAGAAATATACAGGTCCCCCCATTCATGATATGCTGGAATAAAATAGTCCCCTGCTGTAGCTAACTTTACATGGACAGCAGCTTAAATACATCTGAGTGAAGTGCAAGGTTTCCAAATCAAAGGGTCTCTTCTCTGTTCACCTGGCCTCTCTGCTAACTCTGTCACCACTGACCACTCACCTTGATACTCCCTCTGTCTTGGGCTCACAGGACTCTGTCCTTTCCTGGCCCTCTCCTCTTTCTGACCATTACCCAAGGAGAATAATCTTCCCGTTTCCTTCCCCCAGTGCATGTGCCCCAGGGATCTGTCCTTGGTCCCCTTCATTCTCCTCCTCCACACTCACCCCTTCTCTGCTCCCCTGGTCCATTACCCCTGGGGTCCAACGTCCCTCAGATCTACCACACAATCTCCAGCTCTCACGAGGCCTCTTGGATAATTCCCCACAGATGTCCCTTCACTTTCTTATACTAAACGAGGCAAAAACTACGCTTCTCATCTTTCTCCCAAGCCTTTGTACCAGGAATACTTATCTACTGCTCCGTAGGCCTCTCCCTCACATCCAGCCACTAAAACAATCTCCCTGTCCCACTGCTCTGTTCCTCTTCCCACCACCAACTTCCTCGAGTCCATTCACTGCCTCCCTGTTTCTTTCCACGTATAGTTCAAATTCCTCATCCTCACTTGTCAGGCTCTGTACAGCTGTGCCTGGCCCCATCCCACTCCTAACTCCCGCAGTTCTTCCTGGCACTCTGCCCAACCCTCTCATCTTACTCCACCCTCTCTCCTCCCACCTTGTCCTTTGTGCCCCTTTTCATGCTGCTCCCTATGCCTGCAATGCCATCCCTCTTGGTCTGCGCCAGGCACCACTGCTCTACTCCTCAGAACGTGCATTTCTTGCTTAGCACAAGAATGGAGGTCAGTGGTACAATCGACTCCCCACTTCGTCCTACATCAATGATCATTTTAAAACGACACAACCTACAAGATCCAACCGCTATCTGACCCCCACCATTCTCATGTGTGTTAACCTTCATCTCCCCATCCCTATACTTTCTTTGCTATCTTCAGATCAGTATTTGTTTAATCTACACTGTGGGGTTCTCATGGCAGGGGCCATCTTTTTTAACCTCTATGCCCTGCCCTGCGTTTAAAGGGTTGCCCAAATGCTTATTAGTAACAAAGAACACTGCAGCAACTGTGGCACTCAGTGTCCTTAACTGTGTCGTACAAGTGGGTACAGTACCTTTCATTTTTGAGTGACAGTCGAGCACTGGATCATGACAGATTGTGCAGGGCCACCACGGTCGTCTGTTGAACTTAGCCCAGACTAGATCTCCAACTTCATACTTCACTGGAGCAGGTTTCTTCTTGGCTCGATTCTTTGGACAGAAATCAGAACACGAGGAATCAAGTAAGCGACAGACACCTTTGAGGAGAGTCTCACATCTCGTTGGAACATCATCGGACAATCACCAGTGATGGCAGTTCTATTTTTAAAAAAAGCTAATATTTCTTGCTCCGACATCTTTCACGGGACACCAACCATTTCCTCCCACCCACTCCTTCCCAATCCACTGTAGCCAGACATCACACCGTTCAGCAGTAAAAGGTTTCAGCTCACAGCCAACACTGGTTACTATCCAGCTCAGTCAGATGTCCTAGTTCACAGACAAGGAAGCAGAATATCTTGAGATATTTCTGTCTGGAAGGTGGTGATCAGAACAACGGATGCACAGTATCTGCCACTATTAGTAAAGGAAAAGTGCTTGGCACATACAAGCTAATACTAAATGCAGGAAATGGAGTTTGCTGATAAGACACTTCACACTACACTGAATGCACGTCTGGCCATGATATCTTTACCATTTCTCCCGCAGTTTGGTTTATGCATGCAGAGCCACTACTGCTCCCCAAAAAAACCCCACAAGAGAGAGTGAGAGAGCAGGCAAGTCTGCATTGTCAGTCTGTCGCCTTTATGAAAGGAACCAAACTATAAAACGCGAGTGCAACTGGCTGAGACATGGCTCCCAGGGAGAGGCAGTAAGACAGGCGCCACACCTGAATTTCTGTTACTTGTTAGGAAATGGAATGCCCAAATCCACATGGTAGCAGAAGTCTACACGTGGGCGGGCAGGCTATTTCAGGGGAGTCAGAGACCAGCCTACTTGGGACAAGCTCCACTAAGGAAAATGAGCCAACCCAGATCCACCTGCCAGTTGTTAATTACCAATGTGGCTTGGTAGCAGGTAAGTAATTAAGGAACACCCAGGCCTTAGAAAGGTTCTAAGAGCTCAGGCAGGGGGACCCCAGAACACACAAAGGCAGGTCCTGAGGAAAGGGGCTTCTCAGGGGAGCTGTGTTAGAGAGCGCACCAGAAAAGGGGACCTAGGAAAGAGGCTCCTGAAGGGAGCAGGATCCAAAAGTGCTACGAGGGGCAAAGCCCTAGGGAGGCCTGGTCCCAGCAGAAGTCCAAATCGCTGGGGAACTACGTACCGCTCCAGAGAAGAGCTGCAGCAGTTTGACCTCTGCAGGGCCCTGAGTCCAGAGAAAGAACCCTTCCCTAGGTGATGGCAGGAGCCTGACTCCAGAAGAGGGTCCCAGGTCAAGGGGGCCTTACTGGTGAACAGCCTGGACGAAGGAGACGGATGGACTCAGGTGGGGAAAACAGACTAATATTAATTCGCCCCCTGCCCATTAGAACACTGGGGATGACGACTTGCTTGCCTGTCTGTTCAGTCTTTGATCAAATGAAATAGCAAAACACTTGCATTAATGCTGAGCTAAGGTAGCCCTGTGGTATCCTGTGCCCTTCTGGAACACTGAGTTCAGCAAAACTCAAACGCCTGAAAACCAGGAAATAGAGTTACGGTAAAAGCCCGTGCAACCTTAACTCTGCCCCCGCCTCCCCCCCCCGTCCCCGAGCTCACAACAGCCACTGGGAATTACTTGCATGCTCTCCAACTACACTCAGTCTGTTAAGGACAGCTGTACTGAATGGTGGAGGAATATGTTGGAGTAGCTTGGAAGAGCTGTGACTGTGATATGAGGAGATCTGGATCTGAATCAAAGAAGGAGGTGGATCTGTACCTTGAGGTTCCAGTCTGCATCATGTCAATCAAATTGCATGGGTTGTGTCAGCAGCAGGGCACCGGGGCACTCTTGCCATGGGTACTGTCAGTAGTGAAGTGGGATAGGAGAGCAGTCCAGATTTAACGATGGGTAGGGGAAAGTATAGGTTTAGCTGGTCTGCTGTGTGAAGGGACCATAAAAGGTGCAAAAACAGTTATTAAAAGTGACACGTGTGGTAATTCGGTGGGGGGAGCAGGCACAGTGTTTGAGCACAGGGCAAGTGAAGGTAGCACCCGTTCATTACAGAGACATGGCAGAGTGGGAATCCAGGTGTTATGGACGTGTTGGGGCATCACTCCAAGAGGGCAAAATTAAGGTTGTGTGGACTTTTACCTGAAGTCTGTATGTCCTGGTTTTAGAAGTCTGAGATCTGGTGAACTCGATATTCTAGAAGGGCACGAGCTCATACCGGGCAGCCTTAACTCTGTCAGTGTTTTGGCCATTTAATTTCTTAGGTTTTGTTAAACAAAGAAATGTCTGTTGGCAGGAGTTAGTCATTGAGACAGTTTCAGTTCTCACCCAGATTTGCAGGATATTACCTACCACAGGAGCCTAAGTACCTGGCTTTCATACAGTGCTTTTCAGAAGCAGATTTCAAAGAACTTTCCACTTTACAAATGGGAAACTGAGTCACAGAAGTGACATGACTTACCCAGGCTGTGGCAGAGCTAGGAATAGTCCCAGTTCAGTGGTCTTTCCACTTGGCCATACAGCTGCTGTGTGATTCCATAGTCTCCTTCGCCCCCACCCCGGTACATTTTGTTAGAGTGCAATGGGGACAATGGTGGGTCAGAGCCAGGGAGAGAAACCTCACCCCTGGTCTCAGTCCCAAAATCTTGCCAGTTTTATCACATGGCTGTTAGAGTAACGTTAAGCACATGAGAAAACTGATGTCTCTCTCCACCCCTACCCACCATTCTCCTGAACATTGATCACGCCACCCTGCCAACACCTCCAGCTCCCCCTCCCCTGAGCCACTAGCTGCACCGCAGAAGCCAATCACATGTAAGACGGTGCTCCTTGCTGTCTCTTGCCCTGTGCTGCTGCACACATGCTCCGTCCGCTAGCTCCGTCCGCTAGCCAGAGCTCCACACTGGGCCCAGCCCCTCATTCCCACTCCCCATCCCAAGTGGTCAGCCAGGCTTCCGCCATGCCCCAGACCCACCCGGTCCACCCCTCCTCCAAGCCACCCCCCACACAAAGGGGGATCTCTTAACTACTCACTTTTTGGATTTCAAATGTTTAAATCTGTTACCTAAGGTCCTGTCCCCCATGAGATCCAGGCTCACATGGAGGGGCAGGAGGAGGAGCTCAGACCCTTTCAGGGGGGTTGAGCTACCGGACATCCCACATGCACATGAAGGTGAGAATTCAGGACCGACATCCCCCACTCATAGCCCCCCAACTTCCTTGGCTAGCCCTGATTCTCCAACGCCTCCTGTTTTCCCCCAATCCCTCCCCCTTGCCCCATAACCTAAGCTCCCCGACCACCCATTCCCATTTATACCCCTCTTCATATTACCCCCACCCCGCACTGTACACCTAAATCCTCACCCACTCTTGCTCCCCAATCACCCCTCCCCAGTGAGAATTCACATGTGGAAATTATTTGCTTTTCAAAAATAGTTTCAGCGCCTTCTGAATATTTGTCTGTGCTCAGATTAAATTTCTCCTAAATAAATAAATCGAATTTGACAAAGGCAGATTTTTCCCACATGTGTACAGTTCATTCTCAAAAACAACAAGGAGTCTGGTGGCACCTTAAAGACTAGCGGATTTATTTGGGCATAAGCTTTCTGATGAAGAAGTGAGGTTTTTACCCACGAAAGCTTAAGTCTTTAAGGTGCCACCAGACTCCTTGTTGTTTTTGTAGATACAGACTAACACGGCTACCCCCTGATACTTGAGCTCATTCTCAGATTTCCTCCCAGGATGGGTTCAGAGCTGCAGACTCAGAGAAGTGTTAAGTGGCCCATTCATCTCAATGAGATGTTTTCAGCTGAAGGAGAGCACCTGATGGAGATGACTACAGCCTGAAACAATAGCTATGAGACATGTGGATTGTTCCACTCATGTCAGTGGGTGTGCCCATCTCTTCCTCTCCCTCTCCCCCGCCCATTCCGACATGCGTCAAGCATACCTGTTTTCAGCTCCTCACCCCAGTCTCAGCAGTATGTTCTTGGTGCACGCTCTGAGTATGCCTGTTCTCAGCTCCCCAGAGAGGCAGGGCTTCCCCAGCTCACATAGGGGCTGAGGGAGAGGGCTCAGATACTCCTGGAAAAGCAAGCCACCTCCAGAACCTGGCTCACATGAAGGGGAGAGGGAAAGGAGGGGTCAGACCCCAATGGATGGGCAGGAGCCCCCCAGAGCCTGGTGCATACAAGGGGGCAGAGACCAGGGCTCAGGCCCCATTGGGGGCGGGTAGGGACCCCCAAATCCTAACTCACATAGGGAGAGAAAGGAAGCCCCTCCCCTCCCAAGAACCTGGCTCACATGAGGGGAATCTCATCCCCGGGCACAGCACACATGTGGGAGGAGTATATGGGACTGACAGGCACCCCTGCTCTTACTTTCCCTCAGCCTCCCTGTCACTCACTTTATGTCCCTCTTCCCTTCCCGCCACTGCACCTAGTCCCCATCACCTGATCCCCCAACACCTGTCCCCCACTCCCAACTACTCTTCCACCTCTAATCACCCTCCCCTCTCCCTCCCCCGCAATCAGCAATTGCATGTGTAGCTTATTTTCTTTTCAAAACACTTGCAGCACCTTCTGAGCCCTGGTCTATACTAGAAACTTATGTTGGTATAACTGTCGCCTGGGGTATGGAAAAATCCACCACCCTGAGCAACACAGTTATATTGACCCATCCAACTCCTGGTGTTGATGGGAGGGCTTCTCCCGTTGACACAGCTACTGCCTCTCGGGGAGGTGGAGCACTACGCCAATGGGAGAGCTTCTCCTCTCGGCACAGGTAGCGTCTGCGACACTACAGTGCTGTAAATGTAGACAAGCCCAGAATAACCGGCTGCACCGAGATTACATGGACGGAAACCCCCCGACGTTAACGTAGACAGCGTGGACACCACAGATATACCCAGAGGGCTTGTCTACACACGGAACACTGCAGTGACACATCCAACGGGAAGGTTCCTCCTGTCAGCATAGGGAACCCACCTCCCTCAGAGGGGGTAGCTAGATTGACAGAATTCTTCTGTCCCCCTGCACTGTCTACATCAGGGCTAGGT